CGGAGAGGCTTAGGCTGGCTGGGAGGGAGCCCCACACACAGGGGTGGTAGGTGAGTGTAGGGTATCTTCTTAGGGGCCGAGCGATGGGGTGGGGCTGGTGAAGGCCAGTGCTGGGCAGGAATAATCCTTCCCAAGTCTGGCCCGTGGTTAGAGACACCCATGGGGGTCAGACTGGTGGTTCCCAAACCTTGCTGCCTGTTGGAATCGCTTGGGGATTTGCAGCCATACTTATACGGGGCTCCCACCCCCTGATACTCTGATTTAATTGGTCCGAAGAGCCACCTGGGCACTGGGATTTTTTTTTTTTTATTGCTCCCCAAGTGTTTCTAACATGTAGCTTTCGAGCCCAGATCTGCTCCGGTTGGAAACCAGGTGACCTTAGGATGGGGCATTCATGTGGGGCTCCCACAGCTGCAGGCTCTTACAGAGACGACACCCTTCTCCAGCATGCCGTGGGCCCTGTCGTGGAGGTCGGCGAACAGCACCGCCACCTGGTGGTAGACGGGCAGGAGCAGGTCCTCCCGGGCCTTCAGCTGGCCCTCCAGGTCCCTGCGGTCCTTATCGGAGAGCTCGGACACTCCTGTGGGCAAGAGCACAAACCAGGGTTTGCAGGACAGGCCTGTGCTCTGATTCGGAAGCTGCCCCCAAACCAAGCTGCTCGCACGGTCTCAGAAGTGTGGTTACCATGGCGAGACCGCATTCAGCGTGCAACTCTAAATGTGCCCCCTTCTCGGGAAGAACCACTGTGCTCACGGGCTACGATCACTTACTATTTTCCACACATATTGCAAAATACAATTAAGGGGATATTATGAACAACGCTGGGCCAATTTCACACCTTAGATGAAATGGACAAATTCCTTGAAATATACAAACTATGGAAGCTCTGCCAAGAGGAAACAGATCCCCTGAATGGTCCTACATATAATAAAGATGAATTTGTAGCCAGAAACCTCCTATCAAAGATTTAAAGACATAATGCCAATTCTGACTCAGAAGACAGGAGGGAACACCTCCCAACTCATTCAAGAGATCAGCATTTACCCTGACACGAAACCAAAGAAATTACACACACACACACACACACACACACACACACACACACTCTAATAAATCTTGTGAAGGGCACAGTTATAAAGGCACTGTCACCCAACATGGACTTTTAAAGAGAATTACATCTAAGGCTACAAGTGAAACAAAACTATCACTCAGACAAAATTGGTAACATACTTCAGGTCTGATGGAAAATTCTAAAGGGACATTTTGCTGTGCAAATTCTCATCGTCCTCACTGGCCCCAAATACTTCCATTGTTCTATTTTATGTGTGTTCAGAAATAAATACGCGAAGGCATTAAACATACTTTTTGATGGTAAAGGGCTGATTTTGCAATATGAACGTGTTTAACACATCCCCCGATTTTTGGAGCTGTCTTTTGGCACGCTGGCACTTTGTTTTCACCGGACTAGAACCCCCCCGGGAGGGGAACGGGCTGGGTCTCTCTTGCCCTCTGAGACCTGAGGCGTTTCCACCCCTCTCACCTAGCTGTTCCACGAGCTTCTTATAAACTGGGTCGATCCTCCTCATGGTCTTTATCAGATCTTTCTTTCGGAACTTAATCTCCACTGTTCCCTCCGGCTCCAGAATGCTCGCCCTGAAAAAAGAAGAGGAAGGGGTAGAAGATGTAGGAGATGTCCCCCCAACAAACTACAGCCAGGAGACATGGGGGTAGAGACAGGAGAGCCAGGAAATCCGGGTGTGAGTTCTTAGATCTTTCACAGACTCACTCTGTGACCTTGGGCAAGTCAGAGGGGACTCTCCAGTCATCTGCTTCTATATCCATAAAATATACAGGGGCTGAGCCAACGTCTTAAAATCACGTTTTCTGAACTCTGGAATGCCCTTTCGGCTCTGAGAGCATAGGCCTCTTCTCCAGAACAGCATAGCCCTCCTGTTCTTCAGCTACAGCTACAGCCTTTGTGACTTTCCTAATCTCTGCTCTCCTCGGGCCCGGGTGCTGTTTCTGATCTCCTCCAAGCTCACAAAGGCACAATGAAGAACTCAACATGGTTCAGTATGAGCTGGCCCTCTCACTCACCCCCCACACTGCCCCCTTCATCCTCTTTTGATAGTTTGGAAGCCCCAAGAAATACTTGATGTAGCTCTGAGCTTCCTGGTGGCCAGAGTGAAAAGGTAATGATGACCCCACTTGAGGCTGCTCATGTCCCGAGTCATCCTGGAGGGCGGACCTCAACAGCCCCCCGTGATGGTCTAGGTGCACTGAAGGCGGGACGGGTGTCGCTCATGTGCACCGTATCACAATATCTACCATGATGTCTGGTACATAGTAGGTACTCAATAAATAGTCACTGAATGAATGAATGGGTAACAGACATGGGAAGAGGATGCCTATATTTGGGGCAAAACTACTCCTGAGGTCTTGACATCCTACACAGCATGTAGCTTAGAGTCTTCCTTTTTTTTTTTTTTTTTTTTTTAAATTTTTTAACATTTATTCAGTTTTGAGGGACAGAGCGTGAGTGGAGGAGGGGCAGAGAGCAAGGGAGACACAGAATCCGAAGCAGGCTCCGGGCTCTGAGCTGTCAGCACAGAGCCCGATGCGGGGCTCGAACTCATGAACTGCGAGATCATGACCTGAGCCAAAGTCGGACGCCCAACCGACTGAGCACCCCAGGCGCCCCAACTTAGAGTCTTCACCTTAAAGTTACTCAAGCACCATGTAGCAAGTACCACTGTCATTATCCTTTCTGTAAACGTTCCTGGAATGAATGAATTCCTCCTTAACAAAGTGCCACAGGTTTCTCTCTCCCGACGAACCAGTAACCTCTCAGGCAAGTATCTGTCAGTCATTTGTTCAGCCAGGATTTCCCAACCACCTGCTAGCGGTCAGGCATTGTGCGAGGCCCTGGCCTATAAAACTGAATAAAGCACAGCCCCTCCAGAAACTCACAGCTTGGGCAGAGACTCAGAGCCCAGGGAGAACTAGAGGACTGGTTATGTTTCCCTTTTTATCCTGGCTGCCAGGAAGCTCAGGTGCCATGAACTCTCCTGATAAAATCCACCTGTGCACTGGATGCTAGTTTCGGACTGGTAAAATTGGAGCCTCTCCATCCTTCAGAACCTCAGAATGCCCTGGCAATTCCTGGCCAGTGGCTCAAAGATGATGGGGCCTCGGGACTGGGGGTGAAGGGAAACGAGGCTGAGGGTCACACACCCACCTGCTCTCCTTGTCTGCGTACGTTTCTATGCACAGGGGGTTGATGGAGGAGTCCACGACCACCCAGGAGCCCCCCCGGAGTTCCCCGTGGGGTGGGATATAGATCAGGACGGGCTGTTTGTACTGCCTGAGGCTGTCCACGATGTAGGCTCCAAACTTTAGCACCTGGTCGTACATGTCTGAAAGCAAAGCAGTTAGTTGCCCGGTGAGGAGGCTTCAGGCCCCAGCACCTGCCACACGCCAAGCCCCCAGCCGTCGCTGTCCTGGGGAGCCTGAGAAAGCGTGTTCAGCCGGGATGCTTCGCGGCACCATGGAAAGGGCAGTAGAGGAGGCCAGGTACAGACTGCACCCTTACTGTCCGTGTCACCTTGGCCAGGCCACTCTCCCCTCCCTCACACTGGGGCCTCTCAGTGCCTCCATCTGTAAAAGGAAGCTTAGGGCAATCTCAAGGGTCCCTTCCTTCCAGCTCTGACTCCGGGATGCCCTCACCGGTGACTGCCCCCCACCCTGTCCTGCCGTTCCTAGCACACGGAACCCTATCTATCCAGCAATAGCACAGATCCTTCCCCCCTGCCCACAGACAGCGTGGTCGTTATTTTCCACCAAGACGAGGCTCTCCGAGTACCAGGCACCTTATGTGGTTAGGCTGCAATAATAAAATCAACCATCATCATGCCAGGAGCTAACACCATGCACCCGTGATCAGCTCATATCAAACCCTCACTTCAGACCTCTCTCAGGCTGGTCTTACTCTTAGCCCCTTCACAGGAAGGAAAGTTCCCGGGGTTGCCCACCCTGCCCTGCCCCTCACAGGGTGACCTCTGGCTAGTCACACTGGGAGCCCTCAGTTCCTCATCTGTGAAATGGGTGGATGTTCCCTGAACTGCTCCCATCCTTGGAGGCTGTAGGGGGGCTCGGCTAAGATGACGACGCGACAGCGCCACCTGGAGGGGGTTTCCCTGTCCTGGGTGCTGACCCTGCAGCTTTGGGACACCCACAGGAGAGGTGGCTTTACCTTTCATGCCACCGGAGAACCCCCTCCAGTTGGCAAAGATTATCAGGGGCAATCCCTCTCGGTTGAAATCGTTGATGGCCTGGGCCGTCTTGTAGGCTGAGTCTGGGAACCACACCTGGCCCGCCTGCTGGATTATCTGGAACACAGGGTGGCCTGGATCAGACTCCTCTGTGCAAGATCAGCGAGGGGACACGGGGACAGTCTTCTGAGCCATACCCTAGAGGGCAGGCAATCTGATCTGCGTTGGCACCCACACCAGAGCCAGGGCTCACAGCGAGGGCCTGAAGCTCACCTGCTGGGGGCCCTGCTTCTGCAGCCCAGGGAGGTTCCTTCTGCCTCATTTACAGGCTCAAAGGGGTGCCAAGCCAGTCCAGGCCATACCGAGTCCTAGGACCCACCCTCTGACTCCTGAGCTCCTCCCATATGTGCCATGGCCCAGCTAGAGTCAGTGACAGGGACAGGGACAGGCGCAGAGGGCAGGAGGGATTCCCAGGGACCTGTCACCCCCCTGAAGAAGAAAGACAGCGTAGGACATTTATGCATCCCACAGAGACAGTGCTGGAGACGGGCGCCCCTGGGGCCAAGGACTCCCCTGAGGCTGGAAGGGCCGGCGTGTGACCGTCCAGGATCCCCTCCGGCTGGCTGAGCCAGCTGAAACCACAGTCCCAAATTCCCAGCCCTCTGACCTTGGCCTCGGAATCCAGGTTGGCAGGGTCTGCAGGCACTACCACCTCCACGGTCCGCGTCTCCACGGCGATCACTCCAACAGGGATCCCCCCTAGCCTGTGAGGTGGAGCAGGGGCGAGCGGGGAGCTGGGCGGCAGCCCCCTTGGATCCGGGGGTAGACGGGTCCGCCCAGCCCCGGCTGACATTCTATGGGCATCCTGGGTACCTGGGCACTAAAGGCTGGGACACGGGCACGCGTGCAGAAGCGTGCACAGCTTTTACTCTGGTGGGTTATTTTACTGGAAGGCAAAGAAGACGTTCCAAAGCGGTAAGAGCCTCCTCGCCAGCCGGCGGGCTGGAAAGGTGCCATCGGCGCCCTTCTTGGGGCAGCAGCCATCGTGGTGACGGGGAGGGTCAGGCCAGTGCAGGAGCAGCGCTCTCCACTAGAACTTTCTGGGACGCTGTGTTCCCCCTGGCCCATCCAGAACAGCAGCCGTGACATGCTACCTCGGGCGGATGCTCAGCACCTGAAACGTGCCAAGGGCAACAGGGGAACGGAATACACCTTCCTCTCTCAAGTCACCGAGATTTGAATTGCTGCACGCGGCCAGCAGCCACCGCACGGGACGGGGCGGGTCTAGGCACCGCGGCGTGCTTTCAAAGGGGTGGCGGATGTGGAGCCTGAAGGAGCTGCGGCTCAGAGGATTCCATGACATTAGTAACTGTCACCCGCCTGCTACCAGCCAGGCCTGAGCCAGGTGCATCCCTGGGTCACTCGTGTCTACGAGGCAGGTGGAGAGAACGTCTTTAAATAAAGGAAGGGTTTCCATGTAGAAGAGGGAGATCTCATCGCAGGTCTTAAAAAATAAAAAAATTAGGGGGGAGGGATGAGCTGTTAGTACTAGGCTTAACATTTAGTATTTTAATACTTATTTATTGCCCGGGAGAGAAATAACAGCACCAACAAGGACAGGAATAGCAGCCGCTGGCACTGACGGAGCACTTAGGGTGTTTTAAGAGCTTGACACATGTCCTCACAGCAGTCCTCTGGGGGCAGGATTATCATCCCCGTCTTGCAGATGAAGATGTAAAGGCCCAGAGAAAGTGAAGGACCTTAGATCTGACTCCAGAGCCTGGACTTGTAACAACTACCTCGTGCCACGATCTGAATGCTAACTTATAAGGATAATTATAAGGGTCAATTATACGGAGAGGATCCCGCAGGTGGCCAGACAGGTCTAAAATGATGACGGCTGCACCACTGAGGGGTGAGCTGCTCAGCTCTGAAAGCATCCAAGCGATTAAGCCGTCCACCAGCTCTGCGTAGACAAGAGGGCTCCTGATCGTGGCCCTCGTGGAACAGACCTCATAGTTTTGAGTGTCTGTGTGGTTTTCTGGTGGGAGCACCCAGCGCTGTCTTCTGACTCCCAAAGGGGCAGACTCTGGCCCCCAGCAAGCAGATGGCTGAGATGGCCTTTCCTAAGGCCACAGAAAAATCCAGACTTTATGAAGCAGTTCAGCCTCCAGAAAACCATCCCCCCAAATTAGTTTTCCTTTCGGAAAGCCCTGAGGCCAAAAGGAAAGTGTTCTTGGGGGTCACCCAGGAGGAAAGGACCCATGGCTAGTGCCTGGGAGTCCCAGTGCCTGGTGAGGCCAGGCGAGTGCAGGCTGCCCCGTTCTCAGGGTTACCTCGCTCTTCCTGTCACCACCGTCTGGGCCCAAGGTGCCATGATTTCCTTGAAACTGCCGTGGTCAAAGAATCCACTCTGCCAGGATCCCTTCAGAGCTGTGGGCAGAAGGGCAGAGGCCCAGGCCAAGGGGCTGGGTTGATGAGGGTCCCCATGGTCTGCCTGGTGGGGCAGACAACCTGACCTTCACAGCCCAGACACCTGTTTCTCCAGAAAACCACACAGACCCCGACCCCATTAAAAGAAAGCAAAGCAGGGGCGCCTGGGTGGCTCAGTCGGTTAAGCATCCGACTTCAGCTCAGGTCACGATCTCGCGGTCCGTGAGTTCGAGCCCCACGTCAGGCTCTGGGCTGATGGCTCAGAGCCTGGAGCCTGCTTCCGATTCTGTGTCTCCCTCTATCTCTGACCCTCCCCCGTTCATGCTCTGTCTCTCTCTGTCTCAAAAATAAATAAAAAAAATT